CCCTATTGATCTTGGTGGCACCTAGACTGGGCTTAAAATTATCTGTAGACTTTCACTTTTCCAAGTGAATCATTATATTTATAAAAATAGCTACTTCATAGTTCATTAACTGAAAGCACTGACAAGGCTTTTTAGTTTAAACAACCTCTATATGTTTTCTGAGCAATAGTCTTTGCCACAAAATATAAAAGAAAATCCATTAAACCATTTTGTAAATTATCAGCATTTTGACAAATTTTGAGTAAAACTGAAGCAATTCATTTTAAAGCCTCCATTAGCCAGGATAGTCTAATCGTCACTGCATTTCTTCACTACTGTTTCCCCTCTGGGAACAGGGACTATTCCTAGTATTAGTAAGAAATCCCAAAAGAATCTAGCACTTGGTACTAAGTTTTTGTAACATTAAATACATCTGTATGCATAACACATTTTCAAATTATTTGAATGTAACAGAACAGAATAACTGTGTGTATCAACAACAAAAAGTCCCCCCCAAAAAACACCCCCACAAAACCCAAACTATACACTCCACAAAATCCAGCAGCTAAATCAACATTACCTTTTCAGCATTCAGCCTCAAGATATTAAGATAAATGAAGAAAATGGTAAAGCCAAGCTATTTTCTTATACTGTCTGTATACTCCAATATAATTCTTCACAACACTTTGTCAAGCTGAAATTTTCAGTGTTTAGACACATCAGAATTAGAAATTTTTAAAGCATCTACAACGAAAAAAGACACTTTCAAGTGCATACTACATACAGCATGACATTTTCATGGTATTCAGTGAAGTCTGGATATTTTCCCAAAATTTATTTTCATACAGCCATGTAAGCATTAGTTTTAGAAAATAATCTAACCCTGAACTAGATTGGTAGTGATGCCTCTGAGATCACACTTTTGGAGATTCAAAAGGATAACCATCTGGATGTTTGTTTCGAAATCCTGTCCATTTGAACCACTTACACCTCTTGCTACAGGATAAAAATATACAAAGAGAGCAGAAGTAAAAAGGTTGACACTGAAATTGCTACATTATGTGTGTTGTAGCTGGCAGTTTGCTAATTTCTGAGAATAGTCTAGTTTGTCTAGACTTGTTCAGATCACTGTTTTAAAGGTAAAAACCCAAGACATAAAAATTATCAGTGACTGGACATTTTAAAAACATGCTAAATGAGACAGGAATGCTGACAGGCAACATCTAAGACCAGCCCCATAAACATCAGCAATCATACCACACGAAGTCACTTACTTCAGTCAGTATGCAACTATTTCTGAGATTACTGTCCTATGCAAAGGCACAAAGTAACCAAAGCATGGCTACTGTGAAAAAAAATAGCTAAGACCCAACAATGTTTAATATAGTATAAATCAATACCTCTCTAATTACAGTGGAAGAACAAGAAGTTTGAAATTCTAGAAATGTTGATTTTATAGTGATCATTGAAAATGTTTAGGTGTTTCCAGTTACAAGCTGGCCAACAACTCAGAGCAAAATCTGTATCATTGATACACTTAGGCCACCAGACAAACCTTTCTATAAAACTAATTGTCAGAAAAAATTTATTAGCTCCCTAACGTCTCTCTCTGGCAGGCAGAAAGAATTAAACTTATGCAGCAGGTTAATCTTGACATTACGTGGAGCTTTTTTGGTGGCCCTTATGAAAATCTGGACAAATTATGACTATTGAAAGCTTATATTCTCCATCTCTTTGTCTTCTACCATAATCTATAGGGAATCTAGCAGCATCACACGTATCCAGCTTTGCATACATACATGTTATGTCATATAAGCCTTTCTCCTGGAGGAACAGAGAATCTCTTCCCTACAATGGCTGCTTCCCCATGAGAATATCCTCCAGCCTACAAAAATCTGCCTCAAAGCTGAGAAACGAGGGCTCTGTCCTGCACCAGCAGAAGCAGGATTACAAGTTTAACAGGGTAGTATAAAATCCCAGTATTTTTTTTTTTTTTCCAATGACTATTGTCAGTTTTACTGCCTTTAATGTTGAGGAAGAATTTATTACTCGATCCTAATTCACACAAAATGGCTTAAACAACATTTCCAAGTGGAAAAGACAAGCTTCAACTGCTGAACTGCAGTGGTCCTTAGAAGAAATCCACATATTGTGTAATTCTAGATATATTTTTTACAATATCCCACCTGTAAAACTGAACTATCTAAATATATCCACAAGACCAGACTATTATGGAGCTTCCCCTAACGGTCAGTCCCTAAGTCTTGTTTCTTCTGCTGTTTACCATAGTTAATTGTTACATACAAATACTGAAATCTGCATTCAAATGTTGTAAACTTGGGAAGGCATTAGAGTTTACTTCAGCTCTCAAAGTAAACTCTAATGGAAGGAAATTAAGCCAAGGAAATTAAGCCAAAACATACAGCAAAACATTTGTTACCAATATCAAAAGGACGAGCAGTGAAGTCAGCAAAAAACAGCGTTATTATTTCAGTATTCTGATTTGCCCCCTTGTGAATATGCATTGTAATATATTTAGTGACATGGGCAAACACAACTTTCCCACCACAAGACACAGGAAGCAAGACAGACGTTCAGCTTTCAGTTGAGTCTTCAGATATTTACTATGAATCATCTAAACTTTGTTTTGACCCTGGAATTAGTATGTGTGTTTTAATGAGGCTCATCGCTGTACAATAGGTTTGTTTCTGCAATACTCCTTTGAGGGAAAGGGCAATTAAAAAGGCATAGCAAAGCATTCACCAAATTTGAAGGCTACTGAAATCAGATGACAATTCGATACACCCCTAAAATACCACATCAAAAATAAAGGCAGTTCTATGATATGGGATGAGAAATTAATAGAGTGAAATTTTAGAGCATCAGAAAGATTTTCTTGCAGGTTAAAGTCATAAGGAGGAAGAGAGAAAAATCCAAATGTAGACAGTGACAACTGCCTGTTACAAAACATATCATATTGAACAACCTAACTCTTAAAGAGTACAAGTATATAACATAACAGTCGTCTCTGAGTTCTGACTCAAAATTAAAATAAGGTAGAGTTAGTAATCTGCTCAGGTGATCTAGCTGAAAATAATCACAAGGATTATGTTATCTAAATTGTACAGCTCGTAGAAAATCATATGCAGTTTGAAAATGCTTTAAAATCTGTGAAACAGTAACTTTGATTATAAGGTTATTCTGTGAAACAGCAGCAGTAACTTTCACGTCTAGCTGAATGCCTTCCATTGCCCGAGATCCTTTATTGCTTTCTTACACTAAAACCCATAACTTCCTGCATCTTGTTTTGCCTTTGTACTTCCCCACACTCTGGAACAAGAGAAATACCGCCCCAATCCTTTTTTTCTTCCCCACCCCCCCAAAGCCTGTAAAATTCCATTCAGCTTTGACAAAGACATTAAGTCCCCAAAATTGGTATCACCATTTATTCATTACACATTGCCAGCAACAATGTGCACTGCCAGTGCAACAAGGACTGATGAAATATATAACGAAGCAGAAACTTTTTAATTGAAGGTCAGGGACAAATTATTTTCAAAACACTACTGCATATTCCCCTGGGAATCCTACAGGTAGCCCAACAAGGCTAACCTCACCAACTCCCTTAAATGCTCATCCCACCATTGCAGAAGCTCACGTGGAGCTTCCACACACTAAAAAATAAAAAAATAAAAAAATAAAAGAGGGCATGACTGAAGTAACTAACAATTACATTTCTTTCCCTTTCCCTCTTTTCAGGACATCAGTCTCCGCGTTGTCAGCTAATGCACTTTGCCCTAGCATTCAAGCTGTGATTTGCCCCCTCATGCCTCGTATTTAGGAACGTGTTCACTGCAACTGCTTCAAAAGGGAGGCTCCTCAAATCATTCAAGTGCAATGCTCACTATGAGGGTATCTCAGCAGTTAAAATACCTGGCACTACAAACGGTATCTGCCTAACCTCATTCATGTTTACAGCTGGAATCAGCTGGAACGTGTCTGTTACTTGTCCTCAGGAGAGCACACAGCAAGAGATTTACAGCACAGTAACTAACCTCAGGTCTCGAGTTTGCTTATTCCCTGGCATACCATTACATCCTTGGGGAAAGATAATGCAGCTGGCAAAAAATGTCACAGCCCCTCAAAATAAATAATATCTGCCCAATTTTGGGGTGTGCTGCCAACTCTGTTTTGTTCCTGGCTTTCTCTCAGCACAGTCAGGTATCTTAGAAAAAGGTCTGTGCCTGTTCCTCATCACTCTGTAATGGCATTTTGGCATTCTGCAGCTGAATATGCAGTGGTGTTTGAGTAGCAACGTAGGAGCCTAATAAATAAAACATGGAAGTTGAAGTAGATAAATTCAATAAAATTTCATGCATGCTTTTCATTTTTCATGCTAAGGATCAGAATATTAAGTACATTTCAGTGCCAAATTCTGTATTAAGTATTAAAGTCACTCATCATTCCTCATATTTCATTATAATTAGAAACTCCAACCAAAACCCAGCATGTGAGAGACAGTACAAACAGTAAGTCAATAGTGTAATCCATACTTTAGGTATAAGTGACAAGTAAATGTCTCTAATGAAATGCTTATGTTCTAAATAGACAAGTCAAAGTAAGTAGAAAGATACCTGTTTTGCCAGCATGGGATTGAAGGCAAATGGGAGCCAGAGACTACTCCTCCTACACACATTCTGGGGTTCAGCACACTTAGAAGTTAAAGAATTAATATAGTTCTAGAAAGAACGGTCCTGATATTGATTCTAACACATCAGAGTATTTCAATTTTAGGACCGTTTGTTAACTGCTTAGTTGCTGACAGAGTAAATATCAATAAACCTCCCCTTATACAATACAACAGAACATGAAAAAAATGATCAGTGTACCTGTATTGTATTGCTTACAGCTCTACAAAAAAAAGCAGCTCTTCTTTGGCTTATCTCTGCATACCAGATTTTAAGCTAAAGAAGCACAGACATTTTCATGCAAAAGTTCACTTTAAACAATATACAACTTACGCATTTCTTCAACGACGTCTGGATCACATTCTCTGTATTTGTCTATTTCTGACTTCAGCTGCTCTTTTTTCTGCCGAAGGGCAGCAAGTTCCTCTATTAGGGCTGCACGTTCTGCCTGAGGAGTCAAAGTATGTTGGGAGACACAAAAAAAAAAAAATATAAAACCCAGAACATTTTTCAAAAGCTAAAAAGATGTAAATTTAAAAGCTGTTTTCACTACTGCTTTCTGTCAATAAACCAGTTGAGTATTTTATGCATGCATAAAATCTCAGTGACACTAAATGATATTGAGTACAAACTGGAAGGAAAAAAATCAAGGCCAAAATCGATAAACAAAAGAACAATTTTCTACAACCTTTGAACTTCATGTGGTTTGACAAACTCCAAACAGATCTCTTAATTGTTGGGTTTAAAGGTTAAACGATATTTAGGACTGTAAGACTTGTAATTAAAAACAGCATTATGGAGAAACCTACCATTCACACTTCCACAAATCAGGATGCTGTGTATGAACATCCTCTGAATTTATTTTTCTCCTCCTTTTTTTCCACACTATTTAAAAGCAGTGGTCTCAAAAATGAATTCAGGTATTTATGACATAGTAGTCTTTACTGGGAGAGTATACAATATCGACCTCAAATATTCTATTGATCAATAAGTATCTGCAGACACTGACTCAACATGAGCACCTCCATAGCCAACTCAACACATACTTCTAACTCAGTTTGTAGTTACAGCCAAACACTGTAACTGGCTGATATTCAAAGAACTCATGCTAGGGCAACTGGGTAGCCTGAAAAAGTCAGAAAGCACGAGTTTGTAAACCAGGTTTTTAGCCAATGGCAATCTCCAGGGCAACCCAGCAGTCTGAGGCATTTTGCGTTTGTTTGGGGTTTTTTTGACCCCTCAAACTTCCATATTCCCAGTGCTTTTGCCAACAGTCTGGATTCAGCACATTCCGAAAATGCAAATTGGATGTCAGAAGCTTCCAGATGCTGGAGTATGGAGGCTAGCTGCTCAGAGACCTACATCGTGATCTAGATTTCTTGGGACTTCTTCCTGATGTATAATCCAGAACCAAAATGTTGGAGGCATCAGCCAGAAAAGGGTTTCCAGCACCCTGGAAGTTGGAGAAGCCCAAGTCTCAAACAGTCCATTTGGAAACCTGACAAGCACAACTGCATGAGAATTCTGCCTGTGATTCCCTGATTACAGACAAACCCAGAGCGTTTCTACAAAACATTTTGGATTTTAAGATTTGACACTTTCCTACAAAATTCAATTCCACCTGAAAGCTTCTAGCCATCCCTGTTTATGCATTTATTTATTGGACATTTAAACCACTTCAGACTGAGCATCTCAAAACAAATCAGCAACTTAGAATACCATATGAAGTATTTCTAATATGCTACTTCATACATATGGTAAATATGAAGCCTAAATATTATTTTGCAGAGTTAACAGCTTCAGCATACAAAGAGCACCAAGCTTAGGTGGCTGCTCAGAACAGTAATTTAGAAATGTAGATTATAAATAATAAGAAAAAAACCCCAAACCTCAACACCCAAGTTTGCAGTTACTAGATTTGGCAGTTCAGCAACCATTGGCAACTTTGGTACATACCTCTGGGTAGTTCAAGTGTTAAGATATCTAAATCTGAAAAAGCCTGGAAGATTACCAGACTTCAGGCAGTCACACATTTTCTCAGCCTTGGAGCAGCCAGTTGTCAATATTTTACTCATTAGTGCATGACCAACTAAGGAATAATCTAATATCTGATTTTTTTCTGTCCCTTTCTCATCTCCAGTATTTAGAATTCTTAATGGATTTCCAATGACTACATTAGTATTTACAAACCACGCATACTTGTAGCCCTATTTGATGGTAGGAGTGCCTCCCCCCCAAAGCAACTTACAGTATCTTCACGGCCAATTTTTGATTTCTCAATGCTTTTTTGTAAAGCCTCTTTTTTCTGACTGCTTTCAGCAAACTGATAAAGGAAACAAAGAACAAGATCAACCTATTTTAGTAACATATAAAAACATACCTATAAAATGTGTATACATAAAAATGTATTTAAATAAACAGGTGGATATACATTTTAAGTATATAAAATTATATTTATGTTTAACTTGTGTAACAAAAATAAACACCAAATAAATACAAAAGCACCCAAATACAAGTCTGAGGCTCTGAACCACAGAAAATAATTACAGGAAGCAACTTAAAGTCTAAGAAATTTTCACTCCCACGGCACATAATCTTGTTATGTACTGCCTCTTCAGCATAAGACCAAAATCCTATTTCATACCATAACCTGGCATCTCTGTGCAAAGGACTCCATGACGTGGAGGCTTTAGATTAGATGATATCCTTTGGTCCTTTTCCAGCTCTCCCTATTCAATGGAAGCAGTGACAAAAGCTGTAGTAGATCCACCTGCTCAGCTGCTGATATCAGTCTTCCCAAAGTCTGGTATGCCATTGGCATGGCCCCAATCCCTTTTTGCATACTGGTGAATAGAAGCCTCTATAGCTCAAAGGCATGTAAAGCCATGGCCCCTTTTTCTGTGCTGCACTCACACTGCTAGACTTCAGAGTTCCCCTCCTTCAGGCCTGAGGCAGAGGAATCTCACAGAAGTCACATCTCATGGAGCTGGTGTGAATGCTCCCTCCATTTTCCTGTTACTCCAGTAGGAATCACTCGTAAAGACAGATCTCTCTCCATTAACCTGCCACCCATCTTGAACCAGGCCCTTCCAGTTTAGTCGCAAGTTTTCCAGAGACACTTTGGGAACTCTTAAGTTGAGCAGGATGTATGACTCACTCCTCAGGGACACAATACTTTGGCATTAGCCAAACCACCTTGAAATAGTAAATGACATGAATGAGAATGAAAAAAAAAAAAAAAAAAAAGAAAGAAAAATCTAATAAAATATAGTTTGGAAACTAGTTACTCCATTTGAAACCAGCACTTTAAAAAAAAAAAAAAAGGAAGAAACAACAGTATGCTTTGTAAGTACTCACTCTTTGGTTTAGCTTTACGATGTTCTGAGCACCAGTCAGGTAGAAAACTAGTATGTCAGGCTAATCATGAAGATGATGCAGGTGGTTGTGAAAACCCAGGTTTCATTCTGTCTTTCCCCAAAACCCCTCACATGAAACCTTGACTTCTACGTTCCCTTTCTCACTGAGGATCCCACTGAGTGGGAAAGCATTCCAAGACATTTCTTGCAATCCCTAGCCTTAATAATTTAATCATATCATTTATATTCTTGTGCAGCTGAAACACCTAAATCACGTTCAAACACAGAGAACTGTTTTGGAGCTATAATCACTTCTCAATCTCTATTTAAACCTGTGTTCAGTCTGTATTTTCAGAAATACATATTAAATGCAAATGCATGATACATATCGGGCAGAGCTTACTGCCAAGTCTTAGAGATCAGCCATAACAGTAAAAAGAAACTCTGTACTGGTGGTCCATATAAATTAGGACCCAGCCCAACTGCAGCTCACTGGGTTTAGGGCTTGCTTTTATAGCTCAATTTTTAAAAATTAATTACTCTCTGGATAAGTATGTGTTCGTGCATGTGTGAGCATACATACAGACAAGAAGGTCTCCTTTCAGAAAGAATGTTAGTTTTCCTTTCATTTATATAGAAATTACCATGTTTACTCCATGCTCTCAGTGCAAGCAACCACAGAGGCAGTGTAGGTTTCAAGTATGTGGCTTGAAGTACACCAACATCTTAATTTTGGTGGGTAGTTAAACAGTACTCTTTCTAGGCTTTCCACAAAATTCTTAAAAAATTAAGTGTATTAGTCCCTACATTATGCCATAAACAGAAGTATACAGTTCAGAAGAGGACAAGTACTTAGGTGCAGTTTGCAGTTCATGAAGCCCAGGGAAGACAAGCGCCAGAGCACACATTGCTCGGTATCTCTGAACAAAGAACTCCTCCAGAATGAAACTCACAGAGGAAGCAGAGAAGCCTGGATAACTAGGCCCATATATCACAAGTGCAAAGAATAAGCCCATGCTTTCTGCAAGAGAGGCCAAAAAGGTGTCGCTTTCTCTTTTCATATTCATGAAGTTATTTAAGAATGTTTCTGCATTCTCTAAAATGGAAGCACAGAAGGAGCTCTCAGGGAATTGCAATAAAATTATAAAAGCTGGTTTCCAGCTAGGAAGCTTATTTCCCCAGTATGGCATCTTATTATTTTCTTGGTCCTCTATATTCCACAGCATTTAATCATGAAAGCAACAATAATGACAAGCACTGAGAACTACAGACATTTCTTAGATTCTGACCTACGTAACACGCAAGATTGCCATACCACGAGGTTAAAAGATTAGAACATCTTCCTCTGTCTAAAAGCAATGATGATTTTTATACAATTTTATTCAAGATTTTGCTTTCTCACAGATTTTAATTTCTTGGTTTTGGTTTGGTTTGGTTTTTTTTTTTTAATTCTGTCTTCAAAATCGAGAATTTACAAAATGAAACCACAGCTCTTTGTGTATGATTTAGAAGTCACAATGGGTATTCCCATGACAACAAATAAAAGATGAGGATATGAAAAGAAATAGCAGAAGGAGATGAGATATTGAAAAAAGACAAACTTAGGACAAGGATGCAAAAGGTGAGGGACAGATGGCCAGGGTCTGTACAAGGAATCTATGATGATGGGAGAAGCAGGAAGGCTTGGATAAAGAGGAGGGAACACTGCTGAAAATAACTGTACATGAAAGAAGGAAAGACAGTCAGCAAGGATAAAGGAGTCAGAGGAAGAATAAATATAGATGATACAATACTTAATTGAGAGGTAAGAGTAAATGGCAGATGATAGGTTATAAGGCATTAAAAGAAAAAATAGCAGTATTTGCAATTGTTGCATATGCATGACAGTAGAGGATCACATCTGGCCAAATACAGGGACTTACTTTCCCACTCACCAGCTGTAGAAAAGCCTGATTGCAAAGGAGTACAGTAGCAGATGGAAGATTTCAATCCTTGGAGCAATCTTGGGACATTTTTCAAGGGAACTGGCAAATAATTTCTCAAGGAACATTAACCACCCTGAGAAAAATCTGACTCCTGCCAATAGCAGTGAGATTGATCTCGAGAAAAAGCTACTTACTGTCTGCACTCTATGTTTCTTAAGAGAGATGTCTGATGTGACACATGAACAGCCTTCTGCCACAACTGTAACTGACCAGGTGTGGGAAACAAGTACAGAAAGAGATATTCTACTGTACTAGAAAGTTTCATGTCTTTCGTGCGCAATCCCAAGCATGACTATAGGCTGGG